AAGTCACTGTTAGGCGTGATGGAGCCCTGCTGTCCTGGGGATGGCTGAACACCTGCCTGCCCATGGGAAGCAGCGAAGGAATTCCTTGTTTTGGCTTTGCTTGCGTGCACGGCTTTTGCTTTACCTATTAAACTGTCTTTATCTCAACCCACGAGTTTTCTCACTTTTACCCTTCCGATTCTCTCCCCCATCCCACCGGGGGGGAGTGAGCGAGCGGCTGGGTGGGGCCTGGTTGCCGGCTGTGGTTAAACCATGACAAGGAAAGACATCAGGAAACGCTGTACGAGCTCTCTCGGGTGTTTGCTCACACGGTGACCCCAGAACAGGGATCCCTTCAAGGTGAGCCTCCCCTGGTTCCCACGGCTGCCTCTAGTCACTGCTTAATACCGGCTGCTTTCCAGCCCTCCCATTGCTGCAGAGCAGAGCTCCCCGACAGACGCTGCCGAGACCTCCCCGAGCGGACACGAGAAGCATTTTCCTTCCCAGAAACCAGAGCAGTCTCCTGAACGGCGGGACTGCCCTGCTGCACCGGGGGAGAAGGCACAAACTGTGTGTGGGTCAACCCGATTTGATTAGCCCGGGGAGGGAAAGGAGCGTCAGAGGGAAACTCCCGTGGCACGGCTAACTGTTTTCCTACCGTCAGCTGACGTAGGAGTCTGGACCACGCTCTGCTGCCCCGGCACCGGTGCTCTGGCGCTGCTGATCAGGAGATCAAACTTGGTGCTTCGACAGGTGTTGGTGCAAACTTTGTCATGCTGGTAGAAGTCGATTTGCCCCGAGTCCATCATCTTCCTGTGCGGGGAGTGGGGAGAGAACCAGGCTCAGCTCAAATCTCAGCCTGGAGACAAAAGGGAGTATTCCACGTAGGAATGCTACGGCCACGGGAAGGACGGGAAAAGGGAGACCCAGCGCCACTCTGCACGCAGAACATCTCCTGCAGGGCTTTCAAATGGCAAATACAAGCCATCCCCCAGCTTCACGTACAGGGCTCCAGTCCTGTTCCACCCCCGCCAAGTACCAGGTCCCCCAGGCGAGGCCACTTCTGCACAGGATGAGGAATCCCGCCCCTCAGACCACGGGGCCAGGATCTCTGCCCCAGAGGTGCTGCAGGTTGCTGGCCAGGTAACGTGAGCCTCCAAGAGATCTCCCGGGGACTGCAAAGCAGACAAAACGCCTGCTCGGCATCCTGCAGCTGCAGTGACGAAGCCCTGAAGCTGGACACAGCGGTAGGCAAGTCAAATACCTCAGCATGATTCCTCCGAGGCGAATGGCTCTCTTCCAGTCCTTTAGGGTAGACTTCCCGGCCAGGTGAACAAAATGCTTCGGGCTGATCAGTTGGTCATTGAACTGACAACGAGATAAACAAAGGCTCAGCAGACAGGGTAACGTAACTTCGGAAGACTGTATTGGGACATCCAGCACAGCCAGTCCACAGCTCATCTAAGCCCCGGCTTCTACCCAGAAAGAGGAGCTGCTTCTCAAATTCCTACCAGCTTTGATCCCCTCGGCACACCAATGCTTACAGCTCCAGAATGGATATGTTTGCAGGGACGACCTGCCAGCCATCGGCATTCGAACCACACCGCTCTAGCCAAGAACAGCCTCGAAGGCTTTCGTACGAGGCACGAGCCAAATTAGCTCCTTCTGTGAACACGTACAGTCATCTTGGAGATCATTATGGGAGACTCCTATTACATCAAATAGCCAAGCAACATCTAGCTGACACGGGTATTCACTCGGGCATCTGTTCCGTCCTGCTCCAGTGACTAAGACGGTTCCTGCTGAGGGTCAGCAACAGAGCGCCCTCGCCGCAGCAGCACGCGGGGACTCAGCCTCAGCGCATCAGCTGTTACATTAGCACACCCTCAAGTGGAAAAAAGGTAACGGCAAGATTTCTCTTCTCGGCGCAACCTGCTCACCGAGGAAGCGACAGGAGTGGAGTATCAGGACACCAAGGGAAAGAGACAAGGAAGAAAAGCTCTGGCAGATCTCAGTAGGCATCCCCTGCTTGCCTTCAGCTCCAAGTCCCTCGTCAAGTGCCAAATACCACTCTGCTTTAAACGGTAATCAAGAGCAGCACCGAAATATAAGGCGGGTGATAGGCCTTCACTCCTTAACCCGCTCCTCCCCTTGCTTCTCCCCATGCCAGAAGCAATTTTAGCGCTAACAATCCAGCACGCTGCAAAGGCAAAGTCACTCGGCTCCAGGACAAGGCTCAGATGAAACACAAAAAGTAAGAAAGTCCTGTGGAGGTCAAGCACCAGACCTTGAGAGCAGAGAAGGAACCCGCTGCGAAAACTCTCTTACCTTTACACACTTGACATTAATTCCCGGACAGACGAACTTCTTCCAGAGCAGGATGGCTTTGCTCTCCCCGCAGGTGATGGGATAGGCGATCTCGATTTCCTCGTTCGTTTCGATGGTGCTGGGGTCTGAGGGAGGAAGGGGTGAAAATGAAACTTTCCGCCCAAGAGGCTCAAATCCCACGAGGCGGGAGCTGAAAGCTCACAGGCTGCGAGACCTACACTCAGGAAACCAAAAGAAGGGCCGATCCCAGCTCAGGATCAGTCCTCTTTCAGTCTTCTCCGATTACCAGCTCTAACAGCAGCTGGCATCTCCTTTTTAATATAGCAACGCTCAAAATGAAGCTCATCTACCAGGAGAACGCGAGATCAGAAATCCAACACATCTGTTAAGGGGGGGGTCAATGAGAACGATCTTTGTGGAAGCAAAACGCTTTAAAATTTGAAGCACAGATATCTCTCAGATTTCTTGGAGCTCTGGTATCTCTTTAGCAGCGATATCAGATATTTACCGATAATACGTTCTCTTCACACGCAGAGTTTCTGCCAGTACTGCCAAAAGACCCACACCCGCACAGGGGGCAGAACACCGGGGCAAGATCTAGTGACCGCACCTAACGACAGGAGCCTTTTCCCACACACCCCTCAGGATGGCAGGGAGCACTCAGAGCCAACCTGCCCGGTTCTCCTGAACGCCCAACCCAAACCGTCAGGCTGTTCGTTCAGCAAAGAACCAGCAATCAAGAGTCCGATGCTTCCAGCCAGCGGCAGGCACAACCGCCCCTCCTCATAACCACCATTCCTGCCTGCTAGCGTCTGCACACCAAGACTAGGGTGAAATCTCGGCTCCCCTGGACCCCGTGGGAGCCCTTACCATTCATTGCAGGAGAGCCAGGATCTCAGTTCCAGGACTTTGAGACCAAGCAGTAACAGCAGACTCTTATTCCAGAGTATGCCCAGACCCTGCACCCACATCCATGCCTGGGAAACAGCATCTGCAGGGGCAGAGCCAGAAGGAAGCCCCGCGAACCGGAGACACCAGCTCAGCGGCGACCAGCCCTGCAGAGGAGGGGATTCTGCCCACGCCGAGCGGGAACCCACCGATCCCTTCTTGGGGAGGGTGCGTTCTCCCCCGGCCACTACGGCGGCGCTGGCCTCGGAGCCCTCTTGGTAAATCCTGTCGTGAAAGCGTCCGTTGATAAAGAAACTATATAAATCACGGACAATTAAGATTCACAGCACGGGGTTAAAAATTCAGTTCGTTTCTTTCTTGCCTGTCCTCGAGGGACGTGGATTTCGTTTGATACGGTTTCAATCACAGGCATTTTTTGGCACATACAACACACAATAGTAATCCCAAGGACTGAAGCACGCAGAGGCGTTCCCAGTCCTGCCATCGCACCCTCCACACTGCCAGCGCCACTGAAGCAGCTCTGCAGTGCGTTTCCCTCTGCCTTCTCCTCCGGTTTCGGACACAGGCAGTTACCCACGACAACGGGAAGCAGAGCTCAGTGCCCCAGGATTTCCCTTCCAGCCCCGTCTGACACTGCAGCACGGGTGGGATCACGCAGGGGAGAGTCACCGTCAGGCCTACAGCCACCCTGCTCTGCGAATATTATCAAACCGGAGCCGGTATATTTACGTCCTGATCGATCCAGAGTTAAGATGAAGTGCCTGGTGACAGCCACTTCTCCGCAGCAGCTGCCATGGGTACCACAAAATTCCCTCCAACATCCCAGCTTCATTGTATTTTAGAGGAGGATTATTTTAGGGGAAAGCTGGCACAGAGGCATATGCGGATCTGGCCACACGGGCACAGACCGCCGCCACGTACCGCAGCTGCAGCGTGGCAAAAACCCACCCTGGGGCCGGAGAGGGAAGAGGGAGACCGGGAGGATGCGTGGCTGGGGCAGCACCGCGACCCCGCTCCCCGCCTGCCACGGCCATCGCCGGGCTGCCGCGATCCACAGAGACAGCGTCGCGCGGACACGTCTCCGCAGGACAATTCGAGTCCTCGGAGGCCCCGTTGACAGCAACACACACAAAAGC